AGCGATCGGCCACGGGGTCCCGGCCCGAGGACAGCAGGGCCTCCACGGTGGGGGGCAGCTCCTTATCCCACAGCTCCTCGTCCTCCGTCAGCATGTAGGTGTGACCGATCACCGCACGCACCTGGGGAGAGGGGGGAGTCAATGTGGGGCTTAGGAGCCCATTGGGGGCAGGAATATGGGGTACTGGGGGGCAGTAGGGCAGGCCGGAGGCAGGGATATGTTGTACTGGGGGGTCAGTGGGGAAGGCCGGATGGCAGTTGGGGGCAGGGATCTGGGACACTGGGGTAGGCTGGAGGGCAGTGGGGGGCAGGGATTGGGGCCCCGCTCACCTTGCCTGTCTTGATGTCCCGCACGTAGATCCCCTCGTTCTCGCCCAGGGGGGTGGCGCGGCGCCGCTCCAGCACCTCCACCTCTGCCGGCGGCACATACTCCAGGGGCCCCCGGATGAGCCAGCGATCGCCCGGCTTCCGGTGCAGCTCGCCACCGTCCTGCGGGTGCCAGGGATCCCAGTGCCCCTTACTCCCGACCCGCAGCCCCCTGCCCCCCCGGTCTGCCGGTGCCCCTCACTCCCGACCTGCAGCCCCCTGCCCCCCCCAGCTCTGCCGCTGCCCCTCACTCCCAACCCGCAGCCCCTGCTAGCCCAGCCCTGCTCCCCCCAAGCCCTGCCGGTGCCCCTCTCTCCCGACCCGCAGCCCAGCCCTGAGCTTCCCACACCTCATCCGAGTCCTCCAGCTTGCTCAGTGCCCGCAGCAGCAGCCCTTCGTCCTCCGAGAGGATGTAGATGTCCTGGATCCCCTCCTTCAGAGACTCCCCTGGCTGGAGGAAGAACGACTTCTCCCCCTGGAGCAATGAATGGGGGCGGGGGGTGGGGGGGCTCCATGAGAATTTCCACAGTACCCAAGAAATATGGGGCGCAAGTATGGGCATGTAGTCTAGGTAATATGGTAGTATCAATTACTGTGCATATAAACTAGAAAATACGGCAAGACCATGCCTCAATG